AACTAAAATTAAATTATTTTTAGTTAAATTTGATCGATTTGGTTAATTTTTTGTTAATCAAATAATAAGTACATTTAAGTTAAATTATATTTTAAACTCTTAAATTTTCATATTTGAAACAAATTAAACAAAATAATCCAATAAAATATTGAAATACCAAAGTAGTAAAGGTTAAATATAAAAATAGCGTCTCTATTATACATTTTCTATTAGTTTGGTATCTAAAAATAATAAAATTTTCAGTTTGGTACTCGAACTTTTATTTCGTCATTCTCTTTAGTATCTAAGACAACTACTATTAGTCAACTTGCTAACGTAACACGAACAACCAATAATATGTTGATATGTGTTAAAAAGTCTAATCAATGTTACATCATCAATTGCCACATTAACATTAAAATAGAAATTCTAAAATTTTTAAAATTTTAAAATATTTTAAAAATTATAAAAAAAATAAAAATTGATATATTTAACAAAATTAAGAAAATTATGACAACTTAAAAAAATTAAAAAATCTCAAAATTTTAATAAAAAATTCTAGAAATTAAAAAAAAATTAAAATTTTAATAACAACTAGTGAGTAAAGCCTAGCTTTGCATGGGTTGTTACAATAATTTTTAGTATTTTATTGAATTGGAAGCTTATTTATGGTTAATGGAAGCTCAAAAAACCTAATAAAGGTATTTCAGTTAAGTACAAAAAAGAGAGTGCCTAGGTAGATTGTAGGAAAAAACATGATAACATAAAAAGAAGGTCTAATGATATAAAAATTTCACCATAGAGCATCTAGAATTTAGCAAATTGGTTTTTGCCGTCCATTGTACTTCTTTGTCAAAATTATAGCCACATGAATGTTAGAGAAGGTTTAATGACATAAAAAGAAGGTTTAATGCCATCCATTGTACTTCAAGAACAAAATAATTCTAAGCATGTAAATAAAAGTTGCAAAAATGTCTCACCAATAGCTAATACATCCTCAAGCATATCCTTGAAACGATGCGAATCAAAATTAGGATTTGAACAAAGCATTGAATAGAAAAGCTTGTTGATGGAGCAAACAATCAGAATTAATTTGGAAAGCCTAAAAGAAAACAATCTCTTTTTATTTATTCATATTGCCCTTGCACTTTTTATAAACATTAATTAGACTTTCTTGTCTGAATCAAATCCCCTATAGTTTGCTTCAAACTCTTTAACATCAACCTCAGTGACCTAAAAATTGATTAAACCATTATCAAAGAAATAAAAGAGAAAGCAAAAATTCTAATGACATAAAGAGAGAGAGTCACAAATATCACAACCTTTTTGTACATAGCCTTAAATTTCTTTTTCAAATTCTCAACAATATCCCCAGCAAGGTCCTCATCAACAAAATAAATGGAAACAAATTAGATAATGCTTAATTAGCAAGAAAATAAATTTGACAAACTGACCAATTCATTGACTTACTTGTATAAGAATAGGAAGTTTAAGAATGCACTTTTCACAATAAAAGCTAAGAAGAAATAGAATATTGCGATGTCCTAAGGATTTCCAGTAGTCTTAAACTACATTTACTCATAGCATCATCAACACAACCAGTTTGGTCATAGACTGTTTGTTTTTCCTCATCATCGAAAAGTGAGATAATAGCAATCATTAGCATGTTTCCCAAGATTCCATTAAACCATCCAAAATTTTGGCATATTATTTAAGTAGGAAAATGTACATTTCAAGCCACAATTTGAATGTTCATGTTTAATCCAACCACATGCCAAAAAGCCATCCTTACTCATTTCTTCCTCTCATCAAGATGTGTGTCACATAAACAAAATAAACATCATAATACCAATATACATGGAGTCATAATTAAGATATATTTATATGCTTAGATCCATTACGTATATACTTAGAAAAAAATTGAAAATTGCAGCAACACTCCTCTAATATAAACAAAATTAACAACCTGGGCATGGCTTCTGTATCTTTATTCTAAAATGCATAATTTAAGTTCATAATTAAGTTGTTACTCTATATTACCAAACCAAATCAAATAATAAAAAACTAATAGAGAAAAAGTACTTAGACTATTGAGGTTATAAATTTAATAGCTAAATTATAATAGTTAAACCTGACAGCTTCTTTAAATTTAAGCATTAATAACATGTATTGTTTAATACTTATTAAGCTTAAGAATAGCCCATATGAGAACTCTAATTTTCATTTTAAAATAAGAAACATAAAAAGGAGAAAATTTTAGTCTAGCAAGCATTACCAAGAATAAATCAATAAATTCTAGCAAAATTTTCATTGATACTAAATTGAAGTAGAAAACAGAAAGCATACAAAATTAAAAGTATATACACAACAGAATAGAATTTTGTACTAATCAAATAATTAGATAAAAAGATAAGAAAATTAAGTTAAACCTAAGTGTCAAAATTAATAAATAAAATTAGAAACAAACACATAGACATATAAAACATGAAGCAAATGAACTTACAATTCCATCATCAAAAAATGTCAATTAATTGGTAGTTAATACGGTTGACATGTGTAACCTGTTAAAATAGAAACATTCATTAACACCAATGCAATTGTATTACAGATTAAAAGTAAAATCGAAAATGATTAAGAATAACGATTTATGAAATAAGTTAGTATTTCATACATCACAGTTGTGTGAAAAAGGAACAAAATTTTCTAGCTTTTTGCCAGTGAAGATGTTAATTCCAACAAAGTAACACTTAGTATGACCATGCTTCCCAGTTTTAGAGGTGGAAACTTACAACCTAGCACAAGCCATACAAATGACTATTAGAGTAACATATAATCTACTATTAAAGCTAAAGATAATACTAATTGGATTAAGTAAAACTCTACTCGACCAAGTCATACAACTTTCAAACACATTTAATCAACCCTAATTACTTATCTTTTAATTCAATATCTTAACTTTTTAAGTTCTATCCAATTTTTGTGAAACCAAAAAAAGGTAAAATATATGAAAATTTTAATCTAAATTAACCAATCAATCAAACATCAAAGTTAACCACATCCAAGCATTAAGTAGAGTTGGGTTATTCCTTATCTTGGAGTAAAAAAAAAATGTTAACTTTGCAGTTAATTTCCCTTCCTTTTCCCATCATTTCCTTGGTTAACAAAAACCATTTGAACAAACTAAAAACCCATAAAAAAATTGTTAAATTTTAAAAAACCTAAATCCCACTAATTTCAAAGCTATATGATAAAAAAATAGACGAATCCAAGTTAACAGCTTAAAAAAAATACTTAAATCAAGTTAGTTAACCCCAAATTTTAACTAAAGAGTTAAATTTTTTTTACAAAATTAAAGTGTATAAGTAAACATTTCTACAAAAAATTATAGTTAAAAAAAAAAAAAACTAAGCTTATAAAGATTTGAGCAACAATGGAAGTGAAGCAAGACCTGGACCGCCACGTATCTTTTATAGTTTGAGCAAATTAAGGTTTTAAGCTAATTTTTGAATCTTAATGCAGTTATAAAAGGAAACAACAAATCAATTTCTTTTTTTTTTTTGTTAGGGGGAGGGACTACACTGAACTAAGTAAGGGGAAACAAATTAGAGTTTTCAATTGAAAATGTAGCAAGATTAAAATCGGCTATGAGGTATTGGGGATTTCGATGATCATTGATTAGAAAAATAGGGTGGGTGAAAATTAATAATAAAATTGATAATTTTAAAAAAAAGTAAATGATGAGAAAACAAAAAAACTAAAATTTATGGAAAAAAAAAACACAAAACTCCCACAACACAGAAAAAAGCTTAATAAAACAAAACCGATGTCTTCAAACCAAAAAAAAAAAGAAAAAAAACACAATGAAAAACAAAAAAAAAAGCAAACAGAGCAAAAAATGAGAAATGGCAGCTGTGCAAAAGGAGCAAAGGAAGCTTCTTCAGAATCAAACCCCAAACAAAAAAAAATCGTGAAAAAACGTAAGAATTTGGACATGTGGCAGCTTCAAACTTTTTTTAGATATCTTTTATATGTAGTAGTAAATATAAATTTAAAAAAAAATCAAAAAAATAATTTTTTTAAAATTAAAAAAAAATCACAAAAGCTTAAAACATAGAAATAAAAAAATATAAAATATTTTGAAAAAATATAAAAAAATTTAAAAATTTGTAAATTTTTTTAAAGAATTATGAAAATTTTTCATTTTTTGAATCTTACAACTTTAATTTTTATATATTTTATGGATTTTTTTAATTTTCTTATTTTTTGTGAATTTTTATTAAATTTTTAGTTTTTTTTTTAATTTTTAAGAATATTTCATTTTTTGAAAATTTTTTATTTTTTTATAATTAAAAAAAATTTTAATTTTCAAAAATTTTAAAAATATTTTAGATGTTTTTTATTTTCAATTTTTTTAGTTTTTTTTTATTTTTTTTGATTTTTTTGGATTTTTATTAATTATATGAGAATTGTTTTTTATTTTTTTAGTTTTTCTAATTTTTAAAAATTTTGTAATTTTAAAAAATAATTTATATTTTTTAATTTATATAAATTTTAAAAAATGTTATTATATTTAAAATTATTTAAAATTTTTAAAAAAATTTTTATGCTGAGGAGGTAATTGATGATGTGATATTAATTAAATTTTTTAGTATGTGTAATATTATATTAAATGTTTATGATATGTGAATAAGTTAATTAACGATATTAACTCAAAATATCAAAGTAAATAGTAAAATAAATATTTTAATATTAAATTGGTAATTTTTTTAAAAATATTAAATTGATAAAAATTATATAATATAACGATTATTTTTATATTTAACTTAAATATTAAGTTAAATATTCTAATAAATTTTAAAATAAAATAATTTGTTTTATAAATTTTTAATTTTAATTTAATTATATTTTAATTAAAATTTTTATTAATTCCATTTTCAATCTAATGAACCGAAATCAAAATTATTTTAAAATTATTTTCAAACTGAGATTGATTTAGTATTTCAACGGATTAATCAAATTAAATCAATTCCATAAGTTAATTCAACCGAATTTTGAGCAGCCCTGTTCGCATCTCCCCTCTCTCCCTTGCTCGCCTCCGGCGTCCCTCCCCCACTCTTCTCAAATTTTTAACTCAGTCACAGTGTTTCTCGGTGGCTCCAGCGCCTCAATTGGCGGTTTTCGTAGACAATAACACTGGCGTTATTTGCCAGGGCATCACTGGAAAAAAATGAAAGAGGTTGGTGGTGTCCTAAGTCTCCAAAGCCAATTCAAGACCATCCCTCAATCCCTCAGGCTCCAGCTGCAAGTATGTTCATTTTCAATTTTTTTTTTTTTTTTTGGTTTCTTCTTTTCAATTGTTGAGGAAATATAAAAAAAAAATAAAATTTGTCTGTTTAATTGGATTGCAGTGAAAAGAATTGGGAAATTATGGATGGAGTATGAAGAAATTGGGGATTTATCAATTCATTAAAACATGTAAGATGTAAATTGACTTACTAATACTCTCACTTGGTTCTTTTGGGCCTGTTGTGGTGTTATCGCATATAGCTAATTAAGAAGAACCCCGAACAGGTTTTGTTTGGGGTCATAGTTATATGCTTGGTTTTATTAGCTGGTTAATGTATCATTGAGTTGTTACTAAGGTTGTTGATGGGTATTTCAATTTTTAATGGAGAGACTGGTCTAGCTCCCTATGAGGTAAGTTTCTGTTCCAACTTGCAGTTGATCCCTACTTATTCATTGCCTCACTAAAATTTAGTAGGTACTGTATTTTTAGTTAAAATATTAGAGAACTATTATGGCTTAAAACAGAATACTTGTTTCATTATGCTTAATTAATTAGTCTCCGATGATGGTTAGATGTTACCATAAGCTCTTGCAATTCCATTTTGTTATCTGCTGTAATATGAACAAAAAACTTGTATATATGATTTGTGATCCTTTACACATATACATGTTATTTTATTAGCCTCATTCCATGAATATTTGTGTGTTAATATTTTGAGTGAGTTTACTACATGATAGGATAATATCTGTTCTGGATTTAGTTAATTAATATTTATTTAGCTTACTGAATTCATTTTCTTATGTATTTGCCTTTTAAGAGATTGATCCTGCTTTGTTGATCTTGTCCTTGTTTTTAACAATAGCCTTAACTTTGACTCTGTTTTTAAATTGAAAGTGGAATCATAAGAGAAAATTACTAAGGGTTAACCAGACAGTGTTGTTGCATAAGCAAAATGGAGGATCTTAAACATTTGCATAAGAGGAATGAAACACTGTGTACTTGCAACTATTTGATTTATACTTGCTTTGAAAGTTTTTTTTCCATGTTTTTATTGTATTTTACATTTCAATTTTTTCTTGCTATAGTGACTGTTATCTTGTGTTATAACTTTAATTTATTCAATCAATATCTGTCACTGATAGATACTCCCAGTTATGCTAGATTTTGGTACTAACAATCAAATGCTACTTGAAGACCGGCTTTGTGAGTAAAATATGTACTCAGTTACCTTGTTCTTAAGAAGTTGCTACCTTTGCTGAGTGGACCTTATAATACACTTGCTGTGACTTTGTTTTGTGACAGGTTGTTAAAATTTTTTTTGGCATGTTCTTTTGGCTTGACAGAAATATGATACGCTATTGGAAAAGGTTTTGCATGTTTAATAATGATATGCAGGTGAACTCTTGGTGCAACAACTTGCTACTTTTATGGACTACATTAGTGTCTAGTGTTGTGTTGATTGCACTTAAATCACTATGAATGCCACCATTATTAGAGAGTTGTGCTTAATGTCTCTTAAGAAACTGCTCAAGTTGCACTTGCTGGATTGTTAGGAACTGTAAGAGCACAAGGTCGATCATTGGCCGACTTTCCAAACCAACAGATAGTTGTGGTGGGAGCTGGAAGGTAGTTGACTAACTTATAGATAAGGATTTGGCTTTCAGTCTTTCACAATAAATTTTCTGCTAATGCTCGGAAGATTTGTTGCAATAAGAAGGCAAAATCTCTATCATATCATTTTCTGACTAATATTGTCATGAAGCAATAGTTAAATACTTTATAGAGTGCAGATTTGATTTCCTTTATTTCCTTTAATCAGAAGGCACATTTTGCATCTTACTGGCACTCCATCAAATATCTTTTCCCTTATCTAATGTAATTATGCACCTGAAAGGAAAATAAAAAGTATATGCATCACTCTCTTACATTCCTTTTTCTTGTCTCAGAATGCTCCTTATCATTTAGTTTACTTTCTTGCCTTAGCCCTGATAATACAGGGCACTATTTTCTGAAGTCCAAACTGATGAATGGGACTGTTTCATGTGCTGTTTTTTCAGACCCAGCCCATGCTGATTGCTCCGTACCTCAGGTGTTCTACTCTCCTCTATTATTTTGAATGCATCCTGCTTAGTAAGTGGTTTGCTAAGATACATTATGTTTTGCATGTTACAAGAGTATATATGTCTTGTGGTGTGCATCAGGGTATGCACCTTAAATCTTCATTGATTTTTCCATACATTTTTTGTAATTTTTAAACAGCTTTTCTAATTGTATTTCACTAGTGGCAAGCTTAGTTCTTATAAAAAAACTTAATATAAACCAATGAAAGCTTTTTGAATGAACAAACTTTATTTCTTTGGCATGTTGGCTTTAAATAATGAATATTCTAAACGGTATTCTCTTTCTTCTCTCCTTTTTGTAATGGACGTTGTTATTACATAGTGAAACGGTTTTATCCTTTTTCTAAGAGTTGGAAACAGAAAAGGTTCTAATACATTTGAAGTACATAGAACAAGTACGTCTCCTTTATTTTTCATTTTGGAGCATTCATTACAAGAAAATGGCATATTAGCGACAGTTTTGTAACGGCTATTTACTTACAAATGCCGTTAGCTTCCGTGTTTTTATAAAACTTAAGGCATTTATTATCAAAACACCGCTAAATATTCAAATAGTGGCGTTATAAATGCCACCCAAGACTTGATATCAGTGACGTTTCTCGACTAAAACGCTTTAAATAATCTTACCTTAAAAATTTCAGTGAATACTAAAGGCATGTTTTTGGCATACAACACTTTCACTAATCACCTAATAAAAAATTATATGAGATTATTGAAAGCATTTTCTATAAGAAATACCTTTAATAATTGTACAAAAAAATTTCACAGGCTTATTGAAGTCATTTTTGTTAAAAAATACCTTTGATAAATATCATATCAAAATGTTTCGATCATACAGATGTTAACCATAAGATTGTAGGTTCGATCCCTCTCTTTAGTCTTTTTTGGGTTTTTGTAGAGATTATTTGTAATTGATTATTGTAGGCATTTTCTTGACAAAAATGCCTTCACCAATTACTTTAAAAAAATTTGGAGAAAATATTGAATGTGTGTTTTTGTAAAGAAACGCTTTTAATAATCCATAGAAAAAATATGGAGTCGATTCTTGAAGGCGTTTTTGGTTGAACTCGTCTTCTATACTCTAATCAATAAAATTTTGTTGTGAGTATTAAAGGAAATTTGTGTTAAAAATGCCATCAATAATCCATAGACAAAAGTTTGAATGAATGATTGAAGGTATTTTTAGCTCAAAATGCCTTTAATATTTCAGACGATAACTTTTAATGGTTGGATTATTGAAAGCGGTTATATCAGTAAACGCCTTCAATAAAATTATGTTAGGGATTATTCAAGGTATTATTCGTAGGAAAATGCTCTTCATAATCCATTCGATTAATTTTTAGTTGGTATTATTGAAGGTGTTTTAATTTATACGAAAAAGACTCGACGAATTTTTGAAGGCATTTTTTTTGTCCAAAATGCCTTTAATATTCCACACAATAAATTTTTAGTAGGATTATTGAAAGCGATTTTGGTAAAAATGCCATTAATATTTCAAACGATAAATTTTGATGGTCATATTATTGAAGGCAGTTATATCCAAAAACGCCTTCAATAATATTTTGTTAGGGATTATTAAAGGCGTTACTTGTAGGAAAACGCTTTTCATAATCCATTCAATTAATTTTTAGTTGATATTATTGAAAGTGTTTTTTTAAAACTCCTTCAATAATCTATACAAAAAAGGCGCAACGGATTCTTGAAGGCTTTTTTTTTTCAAAAATGCCTTTAATAATCCACACAATTAATTTTTGGGGTGATTATCTAAAGCGGTTTTGGTTAAAAACCCCTTCAAAATTTTTTGTTAGGGATGATTCAATACGTTTTTTTACTAAAAATACCTTCAATAATCTCATAAAAATAAAAATATTTGATATTGTATATGTCACGTCAGTTGTAGGTTTATGCCCAGAAAATGTTTGCTGTTAGTTGTATATTAATGCTAAAAAAATATTTTATTTTTATATGTGATATTACGAATTACATTTTGAAATTTACATAATGAACATTGTTGTATTTCAATAAATTGATCACATATTTGAAATTAAAATTGATAACGTTGTCATATTAATATACTTTTTTGAAATAATCGTACTTAATAATTTATTAAGTACACATAGTGTATTCATATTAAGTATAACAATAATATTAAACTAATACCCCAATGTACAAACTTAAAGTTTTCATTCAACATGGCATGTTCAAAACATTATAACACTTTGTTCCTTATATTTTTACATTCAACCAACAATGTCTAACTTAAAGGTTTATCAACATTGATAAATAATAATACATAATCACATCATTTTTTATGGATTTCATCCAGTTTCTCTTCCGTGAAGCTTTCTTTACTCTTTCACTAAAAAAAAAATCAAAAATAAATGCTAAGAAATGAGAACATAATGTACTTTTTTATTTTTTTGAAGATATAACGAGTTTATGAGATTTATACTAACTTTGAATGGTGTGATCATAAAATCATATAACATTATTTTTCGCATAAAATGAAACATAATATCTATATTCAGTATTACCGGGTTGATGAGGTAACTGAAAATTAAATTAAGTGAATTTAAGAAATATTTATTTGCACAAACTCAGCATAAAAGAATATATTTCATATTTATCAGTAATGACAACCATTTCGGTTTTTTTTATCTTTTATTGAATGTAGATATTACCTTAAATTAAAAAGAAAAATTACTTAATACATAAATAAAATTACTTATGAAGAAACAGAAGATATATAATATAATAAAGTGTAATACCTCTTTATAAAAGTTTGAATATCGATGTTAGGCATCGTCGTTGGAGTAACTGAATTAAGTATGGCGTTAAGGATTTGGTGTCAATCACAATAAGTATTCAATGACGACTGCAAAATAATAATAATGATATACTTAGATTACATATTAGATCAGATTTAGATAAGGTTAAAGTAATTAAGTTTGGAATATAGCTTACTGTGTATTATATAAGAGCAAATAATAATCAGTCGGTGTTTTCATGCATAGGATCACATGATTAGCATGATAAATGATTGTCCCACTATGTTCACTAGTGAAGTTAGGGTCAATGAATCTAAGTCTGTTGCTTAACTGTCTCTCCTTGAGCTCTCTATATGGGAAGCTACACAATAACAATCAACACTGCTAGTTAGTATTATAACCTAATATAGATTACTACATATTGAATGTGTATATTTGTATTTATAAGCTAACCTCATATAAGCAATGATCTCAGCAGTTGATAATTCATCCAATTCACAAAATTTTTTAACCTCTTCCACACCAATGAAAGAAAATGGTGGTTTATCAAATAACCTTTCTTAAGACTCAATGGTTATGATATTTCTTTCGAAAAAATGTTCTAGCGAATATTTGGATAACTCATCCATGGAAGCCTAAACAAGGGTCATATTGTGAGTTCGAACATCTTGCTACAATATTTAATGAAATATAAGTATTAAAACCAAATCAATCAATATAATAAACAAATTAATATTAAAATTATAAACAATATCATACTTCTTGGGTGGTAGTGGAAGATGGAACTGTTTCCTTACTTGCAATGGAAGCTTCTCCTACGGAGACATGCTGTCAGACTGGTGTACTAGCATGTTATGCTGCATTGCTGCCAACATGGACTCCAAAGCAGCGAGTCTTTGTTGTTGCTCATTGAGGCATTGCTCCTAGTCATCAATTCGTTGCTATTGTTGCTTGATGATTGCTTCATATTGTGCATTCTCATTCGTAGGATTTTTTGTTGATTACCAAATAACTTTGATGGTAAGACAAATTTATCAACCTTACGAATCCGATCAAGCCTTTCTTTAGCACCTAATGTTAAAGACAAAGGATCTTCGCCATACTGGGTTGCTAGTTCAACAAATTAGACTTTGGCAGCATAATCATCCTAAAAGACAATAATAAGATGGGCTGTAACAACAAATCTATAAAAGCTAGTATATACTCATGCATACAACCACAATGTCAATCATACATTGTATTAAAAAAGCAGTTATATATATAATTTTTTTGTCATTTTTTCGGTTACTTCATCTACAAAATATCCATCTTTTCATAGATGTCCTTGTTTCCAGACATCCCATTTGAAAACTTTTGTGCCAGAGCTGGTTGATTCCTATTAAATTATTGCAATAAAAGAATCAAAATGTATGAAATGAATGTGCATAAATATTCATTAATGAGTATAAAACAAGTATACGAATACATATAAGCTTATACTTCACATTTGTATATCTTTTTCTCGTTGTTCGATGGTGATATTATTGTTTAGCTCGAATGTCCCGTTGTTGTTCTTTGATTTTCTACAAAATCAAGAAATTACGTTAATCACATATGAAGATCAAAGGCTATATTACACAAAGACTTACAAACAATTTTTTTGGTAATGGGTTTGCATACTGAGAAATCTTTTGAAAGCTGATATTGAACAAAATTTGTCCAATCTTCAACACTTATCACCTCTGCATATGCCGTAGGTGGAACAACCAATACATCACTTTCACCAGCCAGTAAAAAAATATATTAGGTTGTCAATTTGCTTTTAAAGTCTCTGAATGCTTTCCTAACATATTGTAACACAATCTTTTTATAGTTAATTAGGATGTCAAACTGTTTCTACATAAGTTAATACAATTAGTTTGAACACATTGAATTTTAATTAAATGATAATTTAACAAATTTTATGAAATAGTTAAATAAACATACCACAACCGACTGTCATATCTAATCTTTGAGATCATCAGGAACTCGTCATCAATCGATGTACGTAATGAAAATCCTACGACGGATGACGGCTTCAATATGAGTAGCCATTTTGGCAGCTCCTTTAGACATAAATTGCCTATTTTGATTGAAGTGAACATGAATTTTTGTGTCACTCACTTTAATTTGTTTATTTGGGTCCCTTCCCTTTCTTTTTTAGCCTACAATTGTGTCTTGTGCATGTTCATTAGAAGGAGAATGATGTTGTTCGGAGTCTATGATACTTGCAATGTTGATCATAATTATATGAATTACACAATATGATCGTTTAAATTTAACATTATACTTTATTAAATACAACCAAAATCATACTACGTACAGAAACACCATTCGGCACACCAATTAGTAATGTACTCAGACACGCCTTTTAGCAAATCACTCAAAAATACCATTCAGCATACGATTCAGTCCCTCAATATCATACAAAACCATTCAGCAAAATAATATCAGATAACAAGATTCAGCAAACCATTCAACATATGATTCAGCCCCCCAATATCATACAATACCATTCGACAATACAATATCATATAACAAGATTCAGCAAACCATTTGGCATACGATTCAGCCCCCTAATATCATACAATACCATTTAGCAAAAAAAATTAGACAATAAAGTTCAGCAAACCATAATATTTAAGACGTATTATATAGAAATAGCATACATGCAATGAAAGGTGCTTGGACGACTATGCTTATGGTGAAGTTAATGAAAATATATAAAGGCATATGTAAATATTAAGGAACTGAAAAAAAATCTTTATCGATTATTATAAATAATATAGTAAACTAAAAAAAAAAAACTT